TACCACAGTGCTTGAAACATAGAAAGCCCTATATAAATGTTAACATTTCTCTCCCTCCCTCCCTTCTTCCCTCCCTCTCTTTCTCTCTCTCTCTCTCCACACATAGATATATGCATCTATATCTTGATATATATCTCTATATATGTGTATGTATAGCTCTCTTTCTATATAAGCTCATTTGATCTTCAAAATAGCTTATTCTTTAATGAGCAAGACAAGATGAATTCAAATGTGGGAATCAGTATGAGGCAGTAGAAAGAAATGTGTACTAGTGCTCCCTTGAAATGGCCTTGTGAACTTGGATGAAGTCTCTTAGCCATTCTGAGTCTTGGTTTTTTTCATGTATAAAATAGGCAGGGGAAGGAGTGAGTTGGATTAGAGAAATGATGTCTTAGGCAGAAAGGTACGGTGGATAGAGATCTTACCTTGGAGTTAGGAAGATGTGGGTTCCATTCTTATCTGCCATACATCCTGGCTGGTCAAATCACTTCATGCCTCAGGGCCTAGGGTCACTTTCTAAGACTGTAGGTGACAATTGTCCTAAGATAGGACAATTGCTGGATTTGTATCCAGTAGAAGGAATTTCTTCACCCAGATTTCCCTATGCACATGAAATCACAGGTCTAGTGTTAAAACTAGAAGTCCTCTTCTAGTTATGAAGTCCTAAGAGCAATGATCTTTTATCCACACATACAAGTGCCAAATATCTGAGCAAATGCTGGAGAGAGGCTGGGGATTTGGAATGCCTGTGATAAAAAGTCTGTCTGGAATGCAAGTAACTGTGAAGAGCTGAATCTTTTGAAGGTGAAGGGGAATTTTTGTTTGTTTTTCTTGGACCTGTGTTTTCCTTTGTATAGGGATCTCCTGTGAAAAACTTCTCAGTTCTTGCTCTCTAACTTTGAGTCAGAAAGAGTTGCCTGGGGCCACTGAGAGAAAAAGAGATTTGACTAGTGTCACACAGCCAATATATGTCAAAGGCAGAACTTGAATCCAGGTCTTGCTAAATCCAAGGCCAGCTTTCTGTGCACTGTGCCAGACTGGATTATGGCTTGGTTTAAAAGAAAAAAAGGCATGAGGAAGTGATATCATGGCTTTGGACTTGGAACAGGTACATTGAACTCATACAGAGGGGGGAAAGCAAGCCAGTTTTCTAGGTTTGTGTGAAAAGTATATGTCAAGGATAAAGAGAACTACAGGAATTAGATAAAAGAGGGTCAAATGGAAAGGGGCCTAAAATCTTCCCCCAGGGCTCCTTTTGAATTGAAAAGTAAAGAAAAGTCACTGAAGGGCAAGGCTCCTGAGAAAGTTAGTTGGCTGGATTAGAGGTCAAGATTTAACCTCTCTCAGCCTTAATCTCTCTCATCTCTAAAATGGGGGTAAGAAAGCCACAGGATTTTTGTGATGGTCAAATGATACAAGATACGTAAAGTGCTTTGAAAATCTTAAATCACTATGTAAATACTGGCTATTATTCAGGATATATATATGTATGGAGGGTACAGAAGATTGAAGCTATAGAGACCTGTGAAAGAAGTTCTCCAGTAATAATTAGTACTCAAGAAAAGGAAATTTAGGAAAATCCTACCTAATTTTAAAACTAAGAATTATCACCTATTCACTCTCCCTAAAGAATGAATGAATGAATGAATGCACACTAGTCACTGGAGATACATTTATAAAAATGGGATATATTTATTATATGGGCTTTCTTGAAATGGAAATTTATTGCTTTATATTGAATCCTCTCTTATGTTCTACTGTGTACATGGCAATGTTATTTTTTCTTATTTTATATTTAAATTTAAAATAAATTCAATATAATGAAAAGAATGAGATGGTCCCTGCCCTAAAGAAGCTTACAATCTAATATGACATATATGGGATAGTAAGGGCCAGGGAAAGGAATTATAGTCTGAAGAGTCACAGGAATTGTGAGTGGAGCCTCAGTGCTGGGTCCTAAACCACATGAGATAGAGGAAGGTGGAAAGCCCTTTCCCCCTACCTCCTTAGGACATGTGGCCCCAACAACAGGGCTAAGGTTTTGTCCTATTTCATGGTGCTTTTCCATTCTAGATGGGAAGCAGAGTCTGACCCACAAAACCACCCCTGCAGGGGGTCTAGATCCAGGAGTCCAGGAATGTAGACTGGATATAGTAGCCAGACTAATTAGGGAGCCCTGAGGAGTAAGGGTCTAGGAGGTTAGCCCAGTGGGGCTCTGGTGGGGCTAATGTTACGGAGGAACTGATTTAAGCTGTGAGCCTAATCTCTCTCCCCTTCCAGAGACTGAGATGCTACATGGGAATTATACTTCCAAGGTGGTGGGGAAAAATTTTTATATGTTTAGGAAAAAAAAAACAATCCTGGTGGAAGTGTATCCAAAGTCTTTGTCACCCACCATAGGACTTCAACATTTCCTATACTTTCAGGACTGAATAAGTGAGCAGTGATATTCGGAGAGTACCTAGCCTATGTGGAAAAATAATGTCTTTTTTTTTTAACCAAAAGTTGTTGTGTATTGACAAAGTATTCTGGATGAAGGACTTTGTTGGTTACACTGAAATATGACGTAAGCCTGGAGTATTTTCCAATTCAGTGGAGAGCAGCAGGACTAGTGACATCAAGATGGTGATTGCTGATGTGTGATATGGACACTGGATGTGGACTATAGAAAAGAAGTGATGGACCCAAGTGAGGCTGAGTGTAAGAGGATCAGAAACCAGGAGGCCTGAGGAAGCTCAAGGGAGTCCTTCGAGTTCTGAAAACCTTAGAGGGCTCTAGAGGAGGGACTATGGTACAGCAGAAAGAATATTGGCTCTAAAGTTAGAGGAGAAAAATGTAAAAAAAAAAAAAAGTGAATCTGACTTTGCCATGATGACATATTGTCCACATGGTTATATACTGGCTTCCGAGAATAAGTAGAGGACCTGGGTTCAAATCCTGCCTCTGATTCTTACTATTTCTGTGACTTGGAACAACTCACTTCACCATCTTGGGCCTTAGTTTTCTCATCTGTGAAATGAAGGATTGGGCTAGATTTCCAAAGTCCCTGCCAACTCCAACAGGCCGTGAAGGCAGCTGAAGCAGGCCCTGTGGAGTGCTTAGAGCTTGGCCAGACACCAAAGATGCCAAGCTCATCCAGTGCATCCAGAGCCATCACTGGCTGTCTTGACTTTTGTCTTGCCATTGGGCTCTGTCTCATGACTCTGAAAGAGGGACTGAGGCCGATGACTTCATGCAACTCTTCTTCACTTAAACCCAATTTACCCATTTCCCCATGATGTCATTGGTCCTCTTTGAAAATGTGGGAACAACAACAACAATAAGAGCCTATAATCTGAAAAGCATGAGATGGACAAGCCAAGCTGTGCTGAATCGGAGCAGAGAGGCTGGCATGAGAAAAAAGGAGGAATAAAGGGGTCCGAGAGCCAGGGACTGGAGAGAAACAAGCTTATTTATATCCCTGGGACATGGCATAGTCCTATCTATGGAAAGGAGTTGAGGTGCTAAGAGAATACATTCTCCTACAGAGCCGAACTTTCTCCCAAAGTGCCCATTGTCACCCACTCAAGGACTTAGGAAGGTTGCCTGTTCTTGCTAGAGCGACTGTATGAGCCACTCATCCCCAGACTGATATGTGCTTTGTTGTTCCCAGCAGAGAGGGCAGCCAGAAAAGTAAAATTTTATCAGGTTCTTCCATGACCTGTGGAAGTCTGCAAATAATAATAATTCTAGCTAGCACTTATACAGTAATTTAAGGTTTACAAAGTGTCTTACATATGCTAACTCATTTGGCCCTCATAACTACCCTATTAGGTATAGTTCTGTTATTATTCTCAATTTCCATATGAAGAAACTGAATTTGAGAGGGATTAAAAGTGACTGGCTCAGGGTCATATAGTTAAGTATGAGTAAGTCTGAGGCAGGATTTGGATTCATGTCTTCTGGATTCCAAGCCCTACACTCTCCATTTCTCAATAGCCATTTCCTTTTACACCCAGTATGGTTGGGACCATTAAATTTATGTGGTACTATCTTTAGGGTAGAGTCTAATTGCTTTTCTGTCTTGAGTATTATGTTATTCAAAGGTAGAATTAAGTGTTATTTAACAGCTATGAATCTGGGAGAGTCCACCTATTCTCCAAGGACTATATTTGTATAAAGAGAAGGAGGGCTAGCACTCTGTGAGAATTCTATAAAAGCTAAAAGTCTGGAGGTGCAAAAAGACAGAGGAGTTGAAATGTAAAGGGGAAGACTTCCAGATAAAAAATAGACAATCCTCATAGAAAAGAGCTGAGGCTTGAATAGCTCTAATCCTTAAGAAGAAGCCAGTGAGATAATGAATTTGCCTCCTGGACATAGACTGCATTCAGAACTTTGTCCCTAGGTATTCATCTACCTAACATCCCCTAAGGAGTAAGGGAGGTAGAAGTGACTGAACCAGAACTGAACACCTTAAGGCAAAGTGGAGTGCTTTACACCAGGAATAGGCTTTTGGTGGTGAAACGCTGTCCAAAAGGAGAGAATAGATCCTCTCCCACTTCCTGCCTGGAGATGAAATGCAGCCCTTCCTCTCAAGAGGAAGACAAAAGGACAAAGCTTCTACAGACTCCTCACCCTAGCCTACTTTCCAACCAGCTACACCCCTCTGGATACAGCTCTGATAGTAGAGGCTTTTACCTTGTCTTGCCAGGAACCAAGTCTCCAGGCCACTTCCTGCAGTTTCCTTACTATGCCCCCGAGTCAGACCCCTCTTCCCCTTTTAGCACCCCTTTATGTATTATTTTCCCCCGTTAGAATGTAAGATCCTTGAGGATAGGGACTTTATTAGTGTTTGTATCATTAGGACTGAGTACAATACCTGACATATAATAAACATTTAATAAGTTATCTCTCCCTTCTCTCTCCCTCCCTCTTCTGTTTCTCTCCCTCCTCTCCTCTCTCTGTGTCTCTGTATTCCTCCCCCCTCCCTTGCTCCACCCTCTCTCTCTAACTGAAAGGACACTGTAACCCTCCAGCTGAAGAAAGTACTGCAATACTATCCAGCTAAGACAGTAGATACAAGTACAAAAGACAATAGCAATCCTATAAGGAACAAGCCCCGTTAAGCTACTTGTCCCTGAGAGGAGCCAAACTAGCTGAGCATCAGAAGAACTCATTCATCACCTATGCTTCTCTCCACAGCAAGTTTTGTGAAGACACTTTAGAGAGAGAAAGGACGTGGAGGTCTGGCAGTTCTAAAGTGGTAGGTTGTCTTGGCTATATGTGTTCCCTACAATTGTACTGCAAGATCTTTCCCACTCTTCCTCCCATGGAATGTGTGTGTATTTGTGGGAGAGTGTGCCTCTGGTATTGAGGAATATACTTTGTAATCATTGTACTTTCTATGCCATTTGAGTAAATACTTTTGCTGAAGGACTGGGTCTACTGGCTGATTGTTATGGGAAAGCACTAATGGTTGGGGCCTGTGACAGCACTAATGGTTGGGGCCTGTGACCTAGTGTTTATAAGATAACCATCCACAGGATTAACCTTAAGAGCCCCTGAAAGTAGTAACCCACTCTGAGGACTGGACTTGCCAGTATGAGTCAGAGTAGGGCGAGTGAGACCAGGTAAGGGTGTTATTTGATGGTGATCCATTGAAGTATGGCATACAACCATTATTATCCCCATTATTGTGAAGAAACTGAAGCTCAGAGGTCAACTGACTTCAGAGCAAACACTATCAGAGCCAGGATTTGAATCCAGAGCTTCTGATTCCAAGACCAGTATTGTTTCCATTACCAACCTGAGCATCCTGGCAACCTTGAGATGCAGGCGATGCAGCTATTATCATTGCTGTTTTATTAATGCGGAAGCTAAGTTCAGAGAATTTACTCGCCCATGGCCAGCTTACATAGCTAGTAATTCTCAGAGCCAGCACAACAATTTGATGTCTTCTGAGTTTGGTCTTGGGAGCAGGCCAGAAAAGGCTTTGAGTCTTTTTTTTTTCTGGGCCTTTGGACTCATGTGGTTTCTTCTCAGAATAAATTCTCTAATAAAGCTGAGCTGGTACTCCTGAAGTTCTTTCCAATTACAAACCAGCATGTGGTGGTCGAAAGGAAACCCAGAATAACACAAGAGCATATGCAGCAGTGTTTAATAAAAACAGCAGTTGTTCAGTTGTTTCAGTCGTGTCTGGCTCTTTGTGACCCCATTTGGGGTTTTCTTGGCTGAGATACTGGAGTGGTTTGCCATTTCCTTCTCCAATTCATTTTACAAATGAGGAAACTGAGGCAATCTGGGTTAAGTGACTTGCCCAGGGCCACATAGTAAGTAAGTGTCTGAGGCCAGATTTGCATTCTTCCCTACTCCCGGCTTGCCACTCCATCCATTACACCACCTGGTCACCCATGTTACCTAATTCAGTGAAGCAGAGCAGCCCATCTCAAGGGGAGGAAGGCAGCAGCTGTGCCTGATAGCCCTGGAGGGAGTGGGGGGGGTGAGGAGGAGTGTGTGCTGTGGGGGAGAGGGGATGGATAGGTAATGTCTTATTTTCCAGCTCTGTGGTTGCCTGTAAGTAGCCTATAAAGTCAGGGAAAGCTTGGCCTTCTGTATTGCTGTTAGACCAGATAATTACACTGTGGTAGTTGAGCTGTGTATTTTGGAAGGGAGAAGAACAATGGAGCCAGGTGAGTCAAGAAAAGTCTCATAGAATAGCATAGCTGTGGGGAGTCTGGTTACTTGGGCTTTCTTTTTGTCTGTGATGTGGGGTGTGTGTGTGTGTGTGTGTGTGTGTTTGTACCATGAAAAGAACTTGTGTGTCAGATTGTGCTATAAGGTACCTAAGGTCTTAGACATAGAATACATCAAAGAGCTGGGGGGCAGTGATGATCTAGGGTCACAAGATCTACAACAGCTGAGTCCTTAACCAAATCTTCTGAGTCTTTCCTTATTCTCTTAGATGTGTCTGGGTCGAGCAGCTGGGTGGCACAATGGATAGAGTACTAGACCTGGAGTCAGGAAGACTCATCACCCTGAGTTCAAATATGGCCTCAGACATTTACTAGCTGTGTGACCCTGAAGTAACTTAAGTCTATTTGACTCAGTTTCCTCATCTGTAAAATGAGCTGGAAAAGGAAATGTCAAACCACTCCAATATCTCTGCCAAGAAAATCCTAAAGGAGGTAATGAAGAGTTGAATATGCCTGAAAACAACTGAACACACACACACACACACACACACACATACACACACACACATCTGGGTCACAATTCCTAGGTATCAGGAGTAAGAGATCAGAGGATCAGACAGATTTGAAAACTAAAGGGCTCTGCAGCCATTTTTAATTCCCAAAAATTTGCTATGCAATTCTTGGACTAGTCCCTTCTCATGTCTGAACCTGTTTCCTCGTCCATTAAAGGGGAGGTTTGAGTTACATCAGTGATTTCCAAACTGTGTCTACACAACTCTGAAATGAGCGACTATGGATTCCCTCAATAATATTCAAGTCTAAAAGCATCCTGTGGTCAAATTAGTTTGAGAAACACTACACCAGATGATCTCTGAACAACCTTTGAACTCTGACATTCTATAAATTAAACTAGCCTTTCCACTTCTATGATCCACCACTAAGTAATCTACTAGAATATAGTGAAGGAAAGAGAGTTCAACCAAGATAGTTCACAAAGTCCATGCAGCAAAGCTCATGCATTTTTTCCTTAGGAGAGCCCCTCTGGGATTTAACAACTATTACTCAATTTAGCCGTAATTCTAACAAGCTTATTGGGTCTCTTGCTTGTGATATACTAGAAGCTGCTGTTTGGAATTTAAGGTCCTGGGCTGCTTGCTGTGGGCAGCTAACCTAGTCACGCAGGCTTTCTTCCCTCTTCACTTCTAATTAATGATAATCAAGCAATAGCAGCCCAAAAAAAGGCTCCATGATCCTGATTTATTTCCATGTTGCATCTCATTTGCCTTCCACACCAATGAATATGACATGCACAGCATTCTTCTGGGATGGAAAAGGCAAGGATTTGCCCATTCCCTCTAAATGGAAGGTAACTCAGGAATTTTGAAATCTGTAGTGTGTGTACCATAGCTCAAGGGGAAGAGCTCATCTTGTTCCTTCAGCCTTTAATACCTCAAGGGAGCCAAAGTGCTGGCCTTTAAACTTTTCCAAACTAAATGCAGGTTTCCCCCTGAGATTTCTGTTGGGCACTCCTCCTCCCTGGCTTTGAGTGAACCCATGTTCTCTTTAAAGGTTTTATGACTGGCCACAATCCCCTCAAATGGCAGCCACAGAGGACAAGCTAGAGAAGCTGAGAACAGCTTCCCAGCCTGCTTGGGAAAGATTGCATTTTTCTATTTGCAGAAGCACAGATGTTGACCTTTGATCTCCTCCATTGTCCCTGTGGGCCTCTTAAGCAATGACTACCACCATTCTCTTCTCTCTCCTTCTCTGTCTTTCTAAGTTTCTAGACACAACAGGTCAAAATGGAGAGAATTTTAGATGCCTCAGTTTGAATCTTGACTCTAGCATATACTAATTATGTACTAATTCCTCCAGTTACTAGCATCTCACCCATCACTTTACATTTACTTTGTATAAATTCCATTTTTACTTAGAATTGTAAGATCACAAATTTAGGGCAGGAAGGGACCTCAGAAACCAATTTATCCAACACCCCCACCCAACATTATAGACATGGAAATTGAAGCCCAGGGATGTCAAGAGACTTGTCCAAGGTCACACAAGTTGCAAGTGTCAGAGGTCCTCTGTCTTTAGAGTCAGCGTTCTTTATGCCGCTGATACCATCCCATGAACATGGCATTGCTCCCCCATAGAATGTGAGCTCCTTACATTCGTGTGGTACTTGCCCATATAATCCCAGCTATCAGTAAGACTGAGGCTGAGGCTGGTAGATTTCTTGTGCACTGGGATTCTGAGTTATAGTTGACTAAGTCAATCCGGTATGTATGCATTAAATCTGGTACCAGTATGGTGAGCCCCTCACAGATCCAGTTTGCCACCAATATAATGACTACACACCCTCCCAGGGGCTATCAGGTTATCTAAAGCAGGGGAACTAGCTAGCGCTGGTTAGAAAGGAGTAGGTATGATTAGTACTGGGTTTGGCTGCCGCTCTTCTTCCAGCCTGAGACACCCAGTTTCAAACAACAATAGGATATATATATATATATATATATATATATATATATATATATATATAATATATATATATATATATATATATATATATATATATATATATATATATATATATATATATATATATATACATGTGTGTATGTATATATGTGCTCTTTGAAGGCAGAGACAACCTTACTTTTGTATTTTTGTCCCCAGTGCTTAGCACAGTGCCTGACGCATAGGTGGCATTCAATAAATGCTTGTGGACTGATTGATTAATTTATCGTCCATGGGTAAATCACCTCTGAGTCTCAGGGTTTTTTTTTTCATTTGTAAAATTAGGGTAATAATGCTTTCACTAGCTATCTTTCAAGTGTTCTTTTTTTTCCTGTTTGTGAGGAAAACACTTTGAACACCTTAAAGTGTTAGCCTTCCTTTCTTCCTTCTCCTTTCTCTTTCTTTCCCCCACACCCAAATTACTTTGTACTTACTTTGTATATGTTAAGCTCTGTAACAATAATTAGCTCATTTTAACTGCAGGGGCAATATAATGGCTCCATAGGTTCCCTCTTTTTCTGCTGTAGGGGATTTGTATTAGTTGAAAATCTAAATGTACAATTACAATTGCTCTAAGCTCCCAGTTAGGAAAATCCCTAATATTTAGGCAGATGTTTGGTGCTCTGATTTAATTTATATTTATGTCCATCTCTTGTTAACCTCTGACTTCTTTATAATTTGGGTTACCATACATGTTTGAGTAAAGAAGTATATCATCATCATCAACAACAACAACAATATTTATAAGACGCCTACTATGTGCCCGGCACTATGCCAAGCTCTTTACAAATGTTATCTGATTCTATCCTCCCGATAACCCTGGGAGGTAGGTGCTGTATCATCCTCATTTTACATACGTGGAAACAGGAAAACAGACATTTAACTAATTTGCCTAGGGTCATACAACTAGTCAGTGTCTGAGTCCAGATTTGACCTTATGACTTCCTGAGTCCAGGCCCAGTACTCCCACTGTGCCATTATATTGTCTGTTGGCTAGGTACCAGGATAGAAAGTTGGGGAAAGAACTTCCTTCATTCCATCAGCAGGTGTGTGCAAGTGGTGACATCAGTCTATGTTGCCTTTGAGATGCCTGTGGGACCAGTGGTCCTCCTTTCTACTTAATTTTTCTCCCTTCATTGGTTGTCCTCGGGCTGCCAATTCTTTCTGGCTCAGATCTGGATGCCTCCACTACTTCCTTTCCAATGCCACACCGCTACCCCTACTCTCAATCTCCAAATTTCTCTTGGGCCCAAACCATCCAGGACACAATTATTTCAAAGGGAAGTCATTAAATAACTTAGTAAAAGAAAGTAGTAGTAAAGCACTTCCCCTATATACTTAAGATACCCTATTCCACTAATACACCCTGGTACTATCAGTGGAGGCTAGTGAACTATTGTTTTTGAGTAGATTCAGATACAGAATACCACGGGCCTATGGTAGCTTATCGGGTGGGTCCAGCTGGGCATCAATGGGGTGGATTCCTCCAGGTGTTATTTACTTATTTTTTTGTTTCCTTAGTGGAATATAAATTCCTAAGGACAAGGGTTCTGTAATTTTTTTTACCTTTATTGAATTGCATTACGGTAGGCGTATTAATGCTCTTCTAATGGAATATGATGCATAAAAAAAGATAAGCAAGAAAGAAGATATATATTTGAAATGCTAAGAAAAGTTCGTGCGATAGATCTTGCTAAGAGCCTATTAGTACAAGTGATGAATCCTGTAAAGTGGTCAAATCATTCTAATTTGCATTGCATATTTCCATTGGTCTGGGACTTACTATCACATTTTATATAATTATAACTTTGAATATTGTGAACTTGGGTATATGCAACCATTTCATGGGATTCATTGTATATGGATCAAATTAATGGAGAAAATAAAGAACATACTATTTGCGCTTAAATACACATGAAACATTCACAAAAATTGATTATATTCTAGACCACAAAGAAGTTAGAGAAAAATTGAGAAAGGTAGATATTATAAGCATTATCTTTATGTATCATAAAGCAATAATAATAGTAATCAACAATGAAAATGTGATTCACCAATACCAGACAATATGGAAATTTAGCAGTTGTTTATTGTACAATGGGTAAGAGAAAAATTATAGAAAGAATCAATAATGTTAAAGATATTGCCATTATGTGACAAGTGGTATGGACTAGGTCTACACTTGGTGGTGCTGCAGGAACATTGACAATCCACCTTTGGTTCATTCCTCTACTTTTCCCAACCTACAGAGAAGCAAGATGGTATGTGATTAAAAAGCTAGGGAGCATGGTTTGGCCAACAGGTGGTGCTACTCTAAATCTACCAGCTAAATGATTTAGCCAGTGTATTCAGTGTGCATATGCTTGCTATACGAAGCAGTTAGGTAGCTCAGTGTATAAAACACTCAGGTGGAGAAGACCTGAGTTCAAATCCAGATTCAGATGTTTACTAGCTGTTTTGCCCAGAACAAGACACTTAGCCTCTTTCTGCCTCAGTTTCCTCAACTGTAAAATACTGGGGATAGTAATAATAATACCTACCCCCCAGGGTTGTTATGAGAATCAAATGACATAATATTTGTAAAGCACTTAGCACAGTTCCTGGAACATAGTAGGTGCTTAATAAATGCTTATTTGCTTCCTTTCCCTTACCCAAAAGGATGCAGTGTCTCCACAGTTCATCAGAAGACATTCAGCTTGCTAACTCTTAGACTCTTTCCTATGTCTCATCAGTCTGCTTGCCTGTCAGCACTTTCTGGATGCTGAGAGGCCTTCAGAAATAATGACTACAAATATAAATACAGCATATCTACTTATATGGAGGCAACATGGCACAGGGGAAGGAACATTGAACTTGGAGGCGTAGGACTTGAGTTAGAATCCTGGCTCTGATGTTTTCTTCTCGTATAATGTTGAGTAAGCCACTTAATCTCCCAGAGCCTCAGTTTCCTAATCTGTAAACTATCCTCTGAGATCCTTTCCAACTCTAGAACTATGATCCTACCTCAGGATTTGAGATTATAGCTGGATTTGCTGTAATGCTTTATTTAAGGTTTATAAAGTACTTTACACAATCTCATTTAAACCAAGCAAAAAGCACTTATGAAACATTTGTTATGTGCTAGGCACTGTACCAAGTGTGGAGAAAACAAGGAAGAAAACAAAACCAGCTCCTGCCCTTAGGGAGCTTATATTCTAATAAGGAGATTTTATATGTGTGTATGTGTGTGTATATGTGTACATATATGTATACACACATATATGTATGTATATGTATACACATATGTGAATTAATACATTTGATTCTCACAACTACCATGTGAAGTATGCACTACAGGTAGTATTGAAATACTGTGGCCAAGGCAAGGTTAAGACAGAGGAGACTTTATATCCCTGAATGTTTATATTAGCAAATGAGGAAGAAGGGGACATTAAGTTGTGACCTTACAGCTGAAGAAATTAGAAAACAAACAATATACCAGAAGCAAGTATGAAGAAATTGGTTTTTTTAAAAAGAAAAATAAAGGTATAAATTATAATAATAGAAAATATGGGAATAATTTAATTTATTTTAAAAAAACTGTAAAAAGACAACAAAACTGACTGAAAATTAGAAAATGGAATTTTAAAAAATAGAATTAAAAAATCAAACCAAAATCAAATGACTAAAACCAAAAGAGAAAATAAAAATCACAATAAATGAAAGAAAAAAGAAAATTACTAATGTACACAAGACCAATGTAAAGACAAGCACATACCAGTTTTAATGAAAAAGGTAGACAAATAACTTGGAGCATTTATATAGACAGGTAAGTACTTCTGTTAACTTTTGCAAAGTACTTACATTATTTCATTTGATGCTAATAACACTTTAAGATAGATGCTGTTATACCCATTTTACAGATAAGGCAAGTGAGGTGGAGAAATGGCAAGTCTCTTAATCAGGGTCACACAGCTAGTAAACATGTGAAGAAGGAAAAAAACCCAAGTACGGCTCTAATCTGAGGCAGTATCCACTGAATCCAGAGGAAAAGCCATTTCACACCCCCCCCCATCAAATTCTATAATAACCAAAGAAATGTAAAGTTTCACAGTTCTAAGTTTCCATTTTCTATCCATCAAATTAGCTCAGATACTTGAAAACTAAAACATTTACTACTAGTGAAACTATGAATTGGTGCTTTCTTTTTGGAAACCAAAAATGTCAGTATACAATAAGAGTTATAAAAGAAATCAGACCCTTTAATTCAGTGATTGTACTATTAAGACTATACCCTAAAAGACAGTGTTAAAAGAGGAAAAAATATGTATCCATACAAAAATATCTAGCAGCTTTATTCATAGTAACACTAAAACTGGAAACATCCAGATATGTTGTATCCAGTAATTGCAGAATGACTAAACAAATTGTGGAATATGAACATAATGAAACAGTCTGTCCTCCCCACATGCCCCCTACCCTGCCCCTGTTCAGTGCCCAGCATGGTGCCTAATACAGAGTAATTACTTAATAAATGCTTATCAATTGATTAGATGGTTGTTGCACTGTAAGAAACAGTACATATACATATAAAAAAAATCCAAGGAAATATGACCCAGAGTGAACAAAGTAGAAATGGGGGGAAAAACCCTATAATATGTAAAAACTACATACTATGTATTATGTAAAACATTACAATAACAAAGTAATGAAATTTGGGGGGGAAAAAAGAAGAAAAGGATCAAAAGAGGACACAGGAGCACATAGGCTGCTATTGTTATTATTCTGCTAGCGTAATTAAACATTTTTAATAAATTATACATAATTTGATGCAGATTAATGTGATCATTTTAATTTTGTTTATTTGAATGGTAATTTTTGTTAGTTCTGCTAAATTTAAAAATAAAAATAGGGGGCAGCTAGGTGGCAGTGGATAGAGCACTGGCCCTGGAGTCAGGAAGACCTGAGTTCAAATCCGACCTCAGACCAAACACTTGACACTAGCTGTGTGATTCTGGGCAAGTCACTTAACCCCAATTGCCTCACTAATGATAATAATACTAATACTAATACTAATACTGCTACTACTACTACTACTACTACTACTACTACTACTACTACTACTAATAATACTAATAAATAAAAATAAAATTAAAGGTTCAGATTAGGACCTTAAGGTCTTCCAGGTCTACATCTTTTGATTTTCTTTTTCTTTTCTTTCTTTTTTTTTTCCCAACAAGGCAATTGGGATCAAGTGACTTGCACAGAGTCACACAGCTAGTAAGTGTTGTGTGTTTGAGTCCACATTTGAACTCAAGTCCTCCTGACTCCAGGGCTGCTACTCTATCCACTGTGCCACCTAGCTGCCCCATCTATTGATTTTTTTAAATGTGTAATAGTCAATATGTGGCTTGAGAGGCCACATAATATGTTGTGGGTGATTTGTGGCATCTAAACAGGGTTGTAGTGTGTGAGATGTGATTTGATAAGTACAAAGTCACCTGCCCCAAAATATTTTCTCCCCTCAACTAAAGTACACACAGCAGGCATGGTCTTTTTTTTTTCTTTTCCTAGGTGGTTTGACATTCCCACCATTACAGCCACTAGTAGATTGGACTATAGGAAGAATCACAAGATCTCAGGACTGAAAGGAACCTCAGAGGCACCTGAAAAAAACTATCTTCTCTACAACATAGCCAATAAGGAGTCATCTGATCTTTTCCTAAACACTTCTAGTAAATGAAAACTTAATACCTTGTGAAAGATTCTGTTCTACTTTTCTCTTTCTCTATTTGTATTTGCACAAAGCCTAAATCTAGTCCTTTGTAATATCATTATTATCTCCCAAATGCTCCTAATTCTACCCTCTTGGGCCAAATGGAACAAGTTTAATCACATCTCCACTTGACAACCTTTCAGATACTTGAAGACAATGGGCCTGTTCCTCTCAAGCCATCTCTTCTTCAAGCAAAGCATCCCCAAGTTCTTCAAATGATATGAGCTCCAGAACCCTCAGCAATCTGCTCACCCTTCTCTAGATGCTTCTAGTTTATCAATATTCTTCCTATAATGTGGTTGTTGTTGTTGAGTTGTTTTTCAGTTGTGTCCAATTCTTCATGACCCCATTTGGGCTTTTCTTGGCAAAGAACTGGAGTGGTTTGCCATTTCCTTCTCCAGCTCATTTTACAAATGAAGAACCTGAAGCAAACAGGATTAAGTGACTTGCCCAGGGTTACACAGCTAGTACATGTCTGAGGTCAGATTTGAACTCATGAAGATGAATTTTCTTGATTCCAAGCCATGCACTCTATCCACTGAGACACCTAGCTGCCCAGAACCAAATACACTACTCCAGCTGTATTCTGACCAGGACAGAATGGAGCACTACTGTTGGTCACCTTTCTTGTCTTAGAGGTTATGCTTCCCAAAATGTAGCCTAAGATTACATGAGTTTTCTGGTTGCCATATCACACTGTTGATTCATTTTGAATGATTCTCTTGGTCCACTAAAAATTATCCAATTTTAAATTGCTGTTTAACCATGCCTTTCCATCTTGTATTTGCAAAGATGCATTTTTAATCTGTGTATTATCTCTATTAAATTAAATTTTATTAGATTGGGTTTGCTATTCATGAATAAAAATGTTAAACAACATCAGGCATGCAGACATTCCTGGTACATTCAACTAGAAACATCTTCCAAACTGACATAAAACCAATAATGACTACTCTCTGGATCTGGCCATTTAACCAGTTCTTAATCCTCATACTTATGCTGTCATCTAACTCACATCTCTTTATCTTGTCCACAAAATTGTACAAGAGACTCTGTCAATTGTTTAGTTGAAATCCAGGTAAACTGTATCTATGATTTTCCCTAATCTACCAGCTCAGTAATCCTATCAAAATGATTTTAATTTAACTATACACTTAATTAACTTTAGAATTTTGCCAGACGTTTAAATCAAGTTCACTGGGTTTTAGATTGCAGATTCGAGCCTCTCCCTTGTGGAGAAAAGTGGGACATTTGCTCTTCTCCATTTCTGTGGTATATCTCCTACTTGTTGTGATCTTTCAAAAATTGTTGAAAGTGATGCAGCAATAATCTCTACCAGTTTTTTTTTTTTCCAGGACCATTGAACATAGTTTATTTGAACTTAAACTTATAAAATACTTTGTCTTAGATATCAGGTCAAGATTAATCAACTAACTATCCTTCCCAGTTAAAAGACTACTTTACTTGTCAGAAAATGGGGAGAGAGGGAGAGAGAGAGAGAAAGAGACACAGGGGGGGGGTAGTAGTTGACAATTCTTCTTTATGTCCAATGGTTATCATTACCCAATCCACCCCAGCTCTGGTCCCAGGGGTGTGATGGAGCCTGGTCACACTGGCTTATGGGAGCTTATTGTTAAATTTTCATTGTAAGCATTTACATCTCAGAAATTATCAAATGCCAAAAATCAGTGCTTTATTTATTGTTTTGTTGATTATCTAAACTTAAGAAATGATGGAGAAAATATTAATAATGCATATTAAATTCAAAAGTTTATAATGTGTACATGTTTCCCCCCTGGAGAGGCAGCTATTAAACATTTACCAGTCTGCCTCTGAGCATTTATAATTGATTGGGAATGAAAATACATGGAAATAAAGGACAATATAAAAGATAAGAAGCACAAATCAATGATTAAAAAAAAGCAGCTAGGTAAAAGTCTCATAAAAGCTTATTTATAGCAAAGTTCATTTGAATAACACAAGACTATTCTGTACCTGTAAGAAACTGCAGGAGGAAATGGAACTCAAATTGAAACCCAACCCATTCCCTATAGACCTAAGCCTAATCATCCACGAAAAAAGATGGATATTCAATGAAAGAGAAGCATTGAAGCATTCCTCCAAAGAAAACCAGATGTGATCAGATTGTTTCCTTAGCAAACATCCTAAACAAGAGAAGACTGGGAAGTGTGATGTACCCTAATCAAGTCAATGATAGAGAAGGGAAAGGAACAAGTATTTATTAAGTGCCAGGCATTGTTTTAAGTGCTTTACAAATATTATCTCATTTGCCAGCAAACAATGAAGGAAAATAACTTGTAGTCTCTTGGAAGAAGAAGGCCTACAGGAGAATGGATGAAGCAGCAAAGAGAAATACTGAAACAAGGGATAAAAAAAGAAAGAAATCTCAATTCATTAGTAGAAGGAAGATCTCCCTGAAAAGTGCTCCCATAGAGGCCAAAAGATATTCTATAACAGGAGATGGGGACCTTACAATGGGTATAATCTGCAAGAATATTATGTTTGGTAGATATCATTATCTCTGTGAAAGTGTTGTGCCTCCATGGATAGTGTCCTCTCAGGAGAAAGGAAATCAGAGCTCTTGTGGGCAGCTGATGTCCAGGAAAGTGGGAGGGAATGGACCCAGGGAGGAGATTTCATGTCAAATGGGGGAAAATAATCCTGGAGTGATGGGGGGTGGGGGTGGCAACAAACTGCATAATCAGGGACCATGGAAAATTCCAACATGGGGCAATATTTCTATCCTTTTTTTCTCTTTGAGGAATCAATATCTCTACGAGTATGGCCTAATAGAAAAAAAAAACTTGCAGGGGACAAGATTCTTGATGTCTCCAGAATAGTCATAAAATCCATTTTTGTTGTTTATAGCCTTCCTCCCCAGTCTCAGTCATTCTGAGCTTTACCCTCCCAGATACTATTCTTTTTTTTCCAGACATAATAAAATTTATTTAAATGTCATGCATTATGGTAGCTACAGGTATAATCATATGAAAATGAAGGACACTAATTTTGCTCTGTTCATACAACATAGCCTTATAAGTTAAATGAATGGGAGGTTCCACAGTTACAAAGAAACAGAAAGGGTTAAAATGTTTTAAGTTTTAAATTTTTTGAATGGAAATACAGTCACTGACTGTTGCTTTTTCATTTCTGAGGGGTGTTACAGGGAGGGGACTCTCCATTATTTAAATACATGATTACATAGTACCAAATATTATTCTTACAAGACTTGTCCTACATTTTTGCTGTTCATTGAAGTCCCTGTCATGAAACTAGGATGTCAAATGGGCCTCCTTATTTAGGATAATGGACCTCAAACCAGAAGAGACCTTAGAGCCTATCAAGTCCATCTCTCTCATTTCACCAAGAAAGAAACTGAGGCTTAAAGAGGTTAAGTGACTTGCCAAGTGTCATGTAATTAATAAGCATTTAAAGGAAGACAACCTCGGTCTTTTGGACTCCGGCTCTCCTGTCCTGTCTACTATTACTACCTAGCAGTCTAAGTCACCTTTCTTATTAACCCAAACCCTGCATATTTGTGTAGATATCTGAACCCTAGGTTACATTGCTAGCTTCTTTCTTGGCTTGTGTCTCCTGCGAATTTCAGGACATCTCTACTACTATCTTTCCTACACTGTAGTTTATCTCTATGGTATCTACCTTGGTGGGTCTATGTAGAGACATTTTCTTCTCTTTCTCTCTCTCTCTCTCTCTCTCTCTCTCTCTCTCTCTCTCTCTCACCTCGGCCCACTCCCCCTTGCCATCATTTCCCTTTTCAATTTAAAACACTTTTGATTAGATTTGTAAGACTCTGATGTGATAACCAACCCTAGTTAGGTGCATATCAGATATACATTTTCACCCTTCCTAGTTCACAACTGTTACCAGGAAGCATTGTCGTAAGGCTTCTCTTATTAGCGTATTGGTAGCTTATAGGGATCAGTTTATCAGTGATACAGTACAGCAATTACCCTGAGAGAATGAGGACCAGTTTCAATTCAAGGAGCTCTGGAGGGAGGAGCAAGGCAGGAATGAGAAATCAGCAGATATTCAGCCTAGCATAGTGCAAAAAGCAGTCTGCAAAAAGCCAAGGAGTTTGGATTCTAGTCTCAACCATACCATGAAATAGCTTTGACAAGTTGCATAGCCTCTCTGGGCTTGAATTTCTTCATCTGTCAATGAAGCAGTTGAGCTAGATAAACTCTTCTAGCAATAATGTTTTATGATTGAATAGTCTATGAAGTAAGGAAGTCAGATTTGGCATGATGAGATGACATAGGTCCCACAAGGAAGTGAAGGAAATAGAATTAAAGCAAATAAACTACCCCCACACACACTGTCGCCAAGGACCAGCCCTATCCTTAAGACCTACTATATGACTTTGAATGAGCTGTTTTACCTCCCTGGGTCTTGTTTCCCAGGGGAATGCTCTACTTGCCATAGCAACAGCTGTGAGGCATAAGTGACCTGTGACTGTAACTGAGCTGTCTAGTGATGGATAGCAATACTCAGGTGCTAGACACTGAGCTAGAAACTTTCAAATGCAGTTCTTGTAGAAGGCACGTTTGCAGAATGATGAGGGATAGAATGGCAGTAAGACCCTTGGACCATTCTTTACCTCCCATACATCTAAAATCATAGACATTTAAAGTTGGCAAGGACTTCAGTTATCATCTAGTCATAGATCACAAATCTAGAGGTGGAAGGAGGCCCCCTCATTTTACAGATGAAGAAACTGTGGCCTAAGGAGGTTAAGTGATTTGCTGAAGTTTACAAGGTAGAAAGCATGAGCAATATGATTTGAACCCAGGTCACTGGGTTTTTTTCCCCCTATTCCATGCTGCCATAGTCTCATTTTATAGTTGAGCAAAATGAAACCCAGAGATTTGTATCCCCAAACTGGTAACTAGTTAACTAGCTATGGGACTTTAGAAAAGTCCCTTAACTTCTCCAATCCTAGTTCCTTCTACATAACCTTAATATAGTAGAAAAAGCCTTGAACTTGAAGGCAAGGGAGGAATGGGTTCAAATTCTGCTTCTAACATTTACTGGCTTATGTGACCATGAGCAAGTTACTTGTCCTCTCTGTTATCTCATCTGTAAAACTGGAATAATAACTATAGTACTTGCATAACAAGTAGTTTTATGTATATATATATACACATATACATATATAGTTATATAGTTTTATATATATATATAGTACTGTATAACTTATATAACAGGGTTGTTATATGGATCAAGTGAAAATGTAAATGTAGGAACATGGCCTGGAGC